TCTACTGATAGAGGAGTGGTGGTCGAACATGAAATACATTGGCCAGGCTTGAACCTTTGTGGTTATGAGTTGTGCTGCTATCTGGAAGTTCAGCAGTTCGAAAGTGCAAGCCACTCTTTTGGAGTAAGATGAGGCTTTCTACTTCCATAAAGAGTTACAGTCTCAGAAACACACTGGGGCAGTTCTACTCTGACCTATAGGGTCTCTAAGAGTTGGCATGAACTCAATACTAAGGAGAATTTGTTCGAATGAAAGGGAGCTTTGAAAGGAAGACTCATGAAAGGGAAACTCATGAGGAAGTTTGAACATGGCCAAAATACCCAACATCTTTCTCCCACAAAACCATGCATATCAACAACAAACTGACTCAGTGATTCCAACTCTGGCTGTGGGTTAGATTCACCTGGTATGATAGGTAGGTTTACTGTGCCAACCTGGGCAATAGGGACAAGTGGGATTAATCAGGTCACAATTTGATTGGAGGGAAAAGAGATAAATGGCTCAGCACGGCCCGCCCTTCTCTCTCACTCTTGTTCATTGGACGGGTGTGCAGCTGCTTTAACTTGTGAGTTGTTGTGGGACAGCCAACCTACGGATTGTGTTGCTAGAGCTTCAGGTTCCTTTGAGACCTGCTTCACCAAGCTGCTGGTGTGTACATTGCTTGAGCTTGAGGCTGGTGGATCCTGTCGTCTTGTATTGCTTGAGTTCAATATCCCATCAGGGCCTGCTTTGCTAAGCTCCTGAGCTGCTGACTGTTGGTGAGCTGCCCTGTATTTGCTGCCTGTGGGGGTACTCTGCCTGCCTTGTGTTAAGGAAGACTCAGCTGTCTGCTTCCTTGACCTAGGACCCGACAGCCCTCGTGAGTGGAAGGACTTCCAGTATATTAACTGTTCCATGGAAGTGATTTGAACTGAGCCCTCTGTACTGCTGTGTGGACTAATTAGCTGTTATATTCATTCGTGCTGTGTTGATCTATCCAAATGTCTAGCTATAGATATAGATATAAAATCACAAATGTCCTGGTTTTGTTTGTCTCGAGAACCCTGCCTAACACACCTGGGAATATTTGACACATTCACAAATCCAATCAAAACAGGCTATTTTGAGGGTTGGACCTAGTTGTAGATGTTATTTTTTTAGACATTGGTTAGTCATTGGGCAACTAGCTGCCAAATCAATGGTTTAAATCCACCAGCCACTACAGGAGAAAGCGGAGAGTGTCTGCGATAGTAAAGATTTGCTGTCTTGGAAACCCTATCCAAGTCCTAGAGGACAGGGTAGAACTGCCCTGCTGGTTTCACGTATGCATGTGAAAGCTGGACATTGAATTAAGAAGACAAAGGAGAATTGATACATTCAAACTGTGGCACTGGCAGAGAATATTAAGAGAACCATGGACTGCTAAAGAGCAGAGTGCTCCTTAGAGGCAAGGATGGTGTGACTTCATCGCATGTACTTTGGACATGTTGTCAGGAGACACCAGGCCCTGAAGAAGGCATCCCGCTTGGTAAAGTGGAGTAGCAGCGAACAAGAGGAAGACTCTCGAGGAGACGGATTGACACCGTGGCTGTATGAATGGATCAGGCACAGGAACAGCTGTGAGGAGTGCACAGGACTAGGCCGTGTTTGGTTCTGTTGTGTAAGGGTCGCTATGGATCGGGATGGGCTCGATGGTGCCTCACACCAACGTAAGAATTGACTTGCTAGCAGTGGTGGAAATTCACAAACCCTCTGCCGCTACCTGGAAAGATGGGGTTCTAACTCACCCCGTGTCTTCACGGGAGAAAAACCCGGTGATGTGCTTCCAGGAAGATGAGCGCAGAAATCCTTGAGGAGACATTTGTTCTCCACCCCATGGGGCCTCTCTGAATGGATCACAAATGCCCAGCACTCCTCCCTGCTCTAGGTCAGGGGTCCGCAAACTTTTGAGCTGGAAGAACCAAGCCTGCCCTCACAACAATTTAAACATTATTCGAGAGCCATGGATATATTTTTTCAGATCAAGGAAATCACCATTATCCGAATATATCCTTTACCATTTTTATAGATGAAATGATGATTTTCTTTTCATTTGCAGTTTTACTTCAGAGCCACGGGCATGTACTGAAAGAGCCCGTAGGGCTGCCGAGCCGCCGTTCGCCGACCTCTGCTCCAGGTGAGAACGATGTCCTTGTACACGGTGAGTGCACCTTCAAAACAGGGCTTCCTGACTCTGCTTCCAGCCAGATGGCTATGCCTATCCTCCATCTCTGGAGGCACTCTGTAGTTAACAGTGACTTCTGCTATCAGAACCAGGAGGATTTGTGCATTCTGATGCTGCTCCACGGGGGTCCGGAAGTGGTGAAGCTTTACTTTCTGCCTTGTCTTTACAGCTTTGTCTTTCTGCCTCAGAGTGGCTGGTGGGTTTGAACCACTGAGCTTGTCACCAGCAGCCCAATGCTCAACTCACAGTGCAACCAGGGCTCCTCAAAAGTAATCGAGCATGCTCCAAATCCCAGTCATTTTAATCCAGGCACCTTTTGTTCTGTATAGAAAAACTTCCCCATGAGGAAAACTGTCTGGAAGTTTCTGTACTCCACGCGGATTCCACCATTCCAGTCTCCAATCAAGGGCAGCAGCAGCCACTGTGGGTTGGACTTCAACTATGAATTATATCTTTTCCTAGATGCTGCACATACATCATCCCTCAGTCTTTATAACTGCACAGTAAACGCCATTGTAAAATTCCACAAATACACCTAGAATTGCCCTACTTTTTACCCTGTGCACTGCTATCCTATCCTATGCCAACATCATTTCCCCCCCTTTTTAACCTGGACCATTGCAATAATTCTCTGCCTGATTATTCAGTCCTGTTTCATTCTTGCCTCCCAAACTATTTTCAGATGTTTGAAAAACAATCTAACTGCCTTCGAGTCATGTCTGCCTCAAAAGGACCCTGCAGGAACTGGAGAAATACTTTAAAAGCAGAAAGAGGCTAGCTTGAAGCCCAACACTGGTTTGCCCTGCTCTTAGAACATAGCCAGGCGCCTTCCCACACTCTGGGGAGGCCGGGCAGCTCAGCCTCTGCTTCTCTTGGTCCCTCTACACGCCTCTTGGGCCCTCTTTCTCCTCAAGCCACGTTGGCTCCCCTCGGGCTAGTCGCTGTGGCTGTGGGCTGCTGCTCCCCTGCGCCCCTCTGCAGAGCAGGAGCAAGCCTCTGTGAGGTATACAGTTCTCACTGCTGCTAATTCTCAGCAGCAGATCACCAGGGTCTGCTTCCGAATCCATCGCATTCTGGAAGCTCCACCCAAACCTCTCCCAACCCATGGTAACTCATCGGGCTCCACTGACCGGCAGGTGGGGGCCTTGGCTGAGGGGTAGTGGCCACGACTCAAACCCGAGTCTCTCAAATAGAAGTGAACGTCTACCAGTGAATGGACGCTGCCTGCATCTGCTTCAAAGGACCCCTTTCCATCCTTCAGAGCTTGGCTGAGATAGCCTCTCCCTAGAGAAGTCTTCTCTCTGTACCTGGGACACTGTCCTCCAACCCACACATACTATATATGTACACACACACACACACACACACACACACACAGTATATACTATATATGCATATATACATAGATGTAACACACATACTACATGTGTATATATGCATATATAACACATACTATATATGTATACACACATATAACACATACTATAAATACATATATAACACACATACTATATATGCACATATAACATATACTACACACATATAACACATACTATATATACATATATATAACTCATACTACATATACATATATAACACACATTATATATATATGCTTTAATCTCTTTGCCGTTATTTCTTCCATGACACTTACATGGTAATTTTCAGGTACTTATTGTCCTTGATTTCTCTGGTTCTCCCACTGGGCTGCCAGCACCCAATGACTGGGGACTCACCTCTTTTATTTACCGAAATACCCAGAGCCTAGCATAAAGCCCTCGACCTTAGCTACTTTGAAATAAATGCATGTTACCTGAACAAAACCCCAAAACACACTGCCCTGGAGTCGTTGCTCATGCATTGCCACCCATCGGACGGGGTGGAACCGACCGTGTAGAAACTCTTTGCAGAGTAGAAAGCCCTGCCGTTCTCTCAAGGATCAGCTGGTGGTTTGTAACTGCTGACCTACGGGGTGAGCAGCCCAATGCATGACCACTATTCCACGCATGAACGAAAGGAGCCCACTGAACAGATATCAGATACCCTAATTCACTTGTCTGAGGTGAAAGAGCCGATCAAACACTCACTGCCATCAAGCCCAGTCAGACTCATAGTAGAATGTTAGCACTTCCCCTATGGGTTCTCAAGACTGTAACCCCCCTTTACAGGAGTAGACAGCCTCATCATTCTCTGGAAGAGCAGCTGATGGTTTTGAACTACTCACCTTTCAGTCCTACGCATAATCCACTATGTCCCCAAGACTCCTTGAAAAACTAAGAGCAACTATTACAGAGACCCATCTTTCAGAGAGAAGTACATTCTGACCCTCTCAAACATACATGTATATATATGAAGGGACTCCGAAAAGCTTGTGGAAAAATGGAATTAAAAGATCATGGGGTTTTTTCTACAAACTATTTGAAATCCCCCCTTTTATCCCAAAGGCCTTAAGTGACGGTAACTGTCTGGAATCTTCTGTGCTTCCTGCAGAACCTAAGCCACAGCTGTGAATGTCTATGTACTAAGTACAAGCAGATGGTAACTCGAGGTTGGGAGGATTTTGCAACAGTGGAAATCCTTAAATTGTTCAAATGTGCCTGTCATAAAGCATTTCTCTTCAGTGCTCTCTGCCCCAACAGTGGGGAAGTCCCTATGTTTTATCAAGTTGGAATTCAATGGGGTCACTGAAGGATCCCTGAGCCAATGGGAGACCCGATCATTCATGCCAGCACGTTGGCTCCATTGCCAGCCTCCCAGGACAGTGCTGCTCCCTGGACGGGCTGTGGGGCTTGCTCACCTGCACAGTTCTGCTGAGGCTCCCAGTGGGTTTTGATGCCCTCTCGCTGGCAGGCCCGGGTGTAGGCCAGGAAGGACTCACAGTAACAGTTTTTATGGACTGGACATTCACACATGTCTGTCACGCAGGACCTGTGGGAACCAATGGAGAGAAGTGAACATTTCAAAACGTTAGTGAGACCACCACACTGAGTAAGTGTGGCCTAAAGAAAGAGATGGGTGGGGAATTGACCGCTAATGGGTAAAGGTGTAGAGAGAGGTTGTTGCTTTAAGTCAGATGGTAAACACGGCACACCACTTCTGGATGAAGCCTAAATGCTGCATCTCTTGGAACAATGTGGCATTAGGCACCCTTCCTTCCAGAGCAGCCTTCTGCTAGAGAGCTCTCAGCAATGACGCATGGGTTCTAGAATCACTGCTCTCCATCATGTAGAGTCTGGCTGTTGAGCACAGGAAAGATGGTTACAGCAACGGAGGAACTAAAGTTTTAATGACATTTCATTTTTACTAACTATATATAAACAGCTACTGGAGGGGCAGGGCCCCCATGTTGTCAATAGGGCTGCTTATCAGCATAGCAGGGTCGACTGTAACGTAACACAAGTGGTGAACTACTGATGAACACACAAGATCCCATTGCTTTCTGAAGACCACACTTGGGAGTCACTCTGGTCAGATCTGGAATTCTAGATGCTTCAGAATGTGAAGAGCCAAATTCCAAATAGAGCAAACATTTCGAGCCACGAATTAGACGGGAAAGATCAAGAAGACTGACTCAGCGTCTCTGCAGTCCACGTGTGACTACGGACATGGTTGACTACGCGCAACAACATGTGTCCAGACCTGCCCGTGTCTAAGGCTTCTCGACGGCCTTCCGTTGGTATCCAGTACTGCCGCTGACAGAGTGCTTTCACGAGCAGTCCACTGTGGAATGGTAAACCCGGTATAACACGACCCCAGCTATCTAAATGAGAAGCAAGGATGTTACTTTGAGGACTAGAGTGTGCCTGACCCACGTCAGGTTATTTTCCATCGCCTCATAAGCATGTGAAAGTCAGACAGTGAGAAAGGAAGAAGGAAGAAGAATTGGTGCATTTGAATTGTGGTGCTGGAGAAGAACATTGGAAGTACCATGGACTGCTAAAAGGGCAAACCAAGTTATCTTGGGAGGAATGTGGTAGTTATATAATCTGGTGTCAACTGGTAGGGGTGGAATCTAGCCTGTCAATCAGGTTGCAGCTTAATGACCTCATTTGGAGGTGCCCTGGAGATAAACAGCTCACTGGAGGCCAGATACAGACACACTCTCTGCTTCGTCTTCCTGCTGACAAGACACATGGAGATCCACTAGAGCACTGGAGCTGGACGAGCCATGTGGAGACTCCTGCCAGCGCTAAGATGCTTCCACTGCCACTGGATCCATAAGACTTTCCACCTACTAGCCTGTGATCTTCCTGCACTCAGCATCATTGCATGTGTTGTGTGAGTCTGAAGAGGAATTTACCGACTGGTATTGGACATATGGGTAATATTGGACTTGAACGGGACCTGGTTGGGATGTTTTCTGAATATACAATTGCTCTTTATGTAAAGCTCTTTCTTACACACATATGAGTGTCTCTGGATTTGTTTCTCTAGACATCCCACACTAACACAAGGAGTAAAGCCAGAGTGTTCTTTAGAGACAAGAATGGCAAAGATTCTTCTTACATGATTTGGACTTTCTTTCAGGCAAGATGAGTTTTTGGTGAAGGACATCATGCTTGATAAAGTACAGGGGCAGGAACAACAAGGAAGGTCCTTAAGGAGACGATTGACACAGTGGCTGCAACAATGAGCTCAAGGATTGGAACCATTGTGAGGATGGCGCAGGACTTGGGCAGTGTACTGTTCTGTCATGGACAGGGTCGCTATGGGTTGGACCTCCCTAACAACACCAGCACCACTTAAATGAAGGGGCCATTTTACAAGTTGGCAGACTGGTTATAGTAAGTCCCACTGTTGTGGTGGTGGTTGTTATCTATTGTTGAGTTGGCCCCTGACTCACGGTGACACCAAGCACTGTGGAGCAAAGTGATGCCCTATACTGTCTATTCTCTAAGATCAGTTGCAAATCAAATCATTGTGACCCATCAGGTTCCCAAAGGCAGATTTTCAGAAGTGTGCTCCCAGGCCTTCCTTACTCAGAAGGCTCTGCTGAAACCTGTTGAGCACTATAGCCACACACAACCCCCCAGATGGGTGGTGGCTTTGTATGAGGAGAATTGGCAGGAATCAAACCCGGGTCCTGTGCGTGGAAGGGGAGCAATCTATCACTGAACTACCAAGGTTCTCAAACTCACACTACACATGGCTAAAGAAAGAACTGAATTCCATTCCCCAACTCTAAGGCCAATGCTTTTCCACCAGACCACATCACTGTCCTGCTCATTGTCCACTAAGTCCACTGTCTAATTACTTTGAGTCCATATTGACTTGAACTATTTTAAAGGCTTGAGAGGTGTGTCTTGTAACAAAAGTAAAAGTTGTTTTTAACTTTTTTTTCACTCTCAAGCGGATGCTATTTAAGCAAACCAGGAAAGATATGTCTTTGTACAAGATCAGTAAATGGCCCTCATTTTCGTCCTACTCTTACTGAGCGAACCCCTCTCTGTACAGAATCTAATTCAAGGACGGATCAGGAAAAAATGTCCAAGATGACAAACAATGCCTCTTGAAATGTAATCAGGGCATGGCCATGCAATGTTCTTATGCCATCATTTTCTCTTGCTGTGGGATATGCCGTACCCTGAGGGCAGGGAGCTGTGGGTAGATGCTGGCACAGTGCCTGCCCTGAGTGAGCATTAAACAGCAGAAACCATACTGAATGACCAATAGACTGGAGTGTGCAGGCGAAGTGATCGTAGTCTAACACTCAAGGGGACAGGTAGCCTCTGGAAAACAGAAACCAACAGGAACATAAGAATAACAGCTCTGAAATGTAAGGGGCCTCTCCCATTTCCTCAACTGAGATATTATTAGATGCCTGATACTTAAGGCCCAATAACCAGGAGAGAAAAGCTGATTTCTCTCTACTCTGTAATCAGCAAGGCGGGATCTCTTAATACCTTCTTCCACTTATAGAAATGCTGGGAAATCACGTTCACTCGGGCGCTAGATACTCAGTGTCATGATCCTACTTTGGAAGAGACTCTGGACGTCCAGAGAACCCAAGTAAATGAAGCCTGTCCTTGAAATGGCCTCCAAACTGTCTTGGTACACCTCTAGCGCAGCATTCCCTTTGTCCTTTCAATTTCCATTTCAGGCTAACCCACACCTGCCACATGTGCGCACAGACTGCACGGTAGCCTGCTTGGCTGCCCCTGGCTCTCACCTCTTAGGCCATTCCTGCTTCTCCCACACCCACAAGAGCCTTGGTCCTCATTCTTCCTAGGTTTCCAAGGCCCTGGACCATGGGTCCTCTTTCCTGTCCTCAAAGCCCCCATGGATGTGCCATGAAGGGCAAGGCATTTTAGGGGGCTGATAAAATGACTGTATTCAAATAGAAAAACACTCACTCTGTGTAATCAGAGACAGAGCCTCTGATTTGAGAGGCCATGTACAAGTGGTGCAGACCACAAAGAACCATATTTCACGTCAGGGTAAAGATATGGCTAGTGAAAGATTTCTTTCTTTCTCCTTTCTTTCTACCGATAACTCAATGAGGCGCATTACACAATTTAAAATAAAGTATGGACAGTGAGGTTTAAGTCCACCGAGAGGTGACTTGGAAAAAAGATCTGGTGCTCAACTGCTGGGAAATCAGTCACCTGCAACCCTCTGGAGGGCTGACAGAAACCCAGGCGCAGTTCATGGTGGTGGCTGAACAGCAGGGTATACATACGAGGGAGCTTCAAAAAGTTATTGGGGAAATAGAACTAGCAACTAAGAGAATTTGTCCACCACATTATGGAAGCCCCCTCAAAAATTTAATGCCTCTGAGCTGTACACGTAAAGCTGCCTGTGCATTTACCCCAAAGAAAGTGTATTTACCAATGAGAACACCCGAGGGAGCACAGTTGGCCCTTGTTGTGCTTGTTGGTTGGTTTGAATCTGAGTGAGGGAGACTGTTGCAAGAAAAGAGCATCAACAGGTACTTAACGGTCATTGGTTACAAGTAGTCTAGCCCACCAATAGAGCCCTCTGCTAGCACCAACACAGCCAACCGCATACCGACTTCTCAAAACGGAGGACGACTTCCGCCTATAATATCACTTAACACTCACGGGAACAACAACACTTCAGGGAAATACAGTTCTGAAAGCTAGCCCTCACCTCAAAGTATTTTGCATATCACCAATTCCTTGAGAGATGGGTTTTAACACAAGGGTAAGAGTATCAGACGCGAGTCTTCACTACTGGGTCAGTGAGTTTTGATCAAAATAGTGCCTAGCGTTTGTGAGAGCATAGAGCAGTAGTGATCCCTATACTGTGCAGTCAGAAAGATAATGGTGAGCTGACCTTCGATGGGGCCATCTGCGGAGTGCATTGCTGTGCTAAGCATTTTGCAAGAAGTGTCTCTTACTGCCCACAGCAATAGAAGGCAAGTCTTACTGGTTCTCCACATCATGGAGAGGGAGGCTGACGTTGAGGGGAGCTGATGAGTTTGTCCAGGATCACATAAATGGAGACAGATTCACAGCGGCCCACCCAAGACTGCAACCCAGTTCATTCACACTGCAAACCCCACACATTTTAGTAACGGTAGTACCTGATCTTTCTGGAGCGCACTTTGGGAATAAACTTACAGATAATCTTAAGAATGGTTCCCAGCTCCCAGACAGGTTATTTTACATCTAAGGAAATAATAATGCATGTGGACAAAGACTTCAAACACAGGATTGTCAAATGTAAAGAAAATGTCTGTGCATTCAAATAGCAAGCTTTTCAACACACACTGAAAAATGTCCCCCACAAATGTAAATAATCTAAATTTTGTTAAAATTTAAAGATCACTTTATCGGAGCTCTTACAATTCTTATGGCTTTCTGAGACCATACATCTTTGTAGGAGCAGACAGCTGCCTCGTCTTTCTCTCTCAGAACAACTAGTGTGTTTCTCTTAACAGCTCACTGCTTGACCCACTGTGCCAC